GAGAGGTTTCTATGTTCTATGGGCTGAATGGCTGAGGGAGCTTTACGCAAGGAAGTTGGAACTGGGCTGGGCTGCAGTGGAGGAAGTCAGAGGGAAGGATCAGAATGGGGCGTGAGCAAAGGTTGTAAGAAGTCAGCTCTGACTCCGGCACCATGGGAAGGCTGTGGAGGCAAATGGGGTAGAGACGGGACAGTCAGGAAAACTGGGAGTGGCTAGGACAGAAGGGAAAGTCAAGATAGATCTGGAAGTCCCAACGAGACAGACGAGGGTGTGTACTTCGTCCTGTTAGCAGGAGCCACTCAGGAGTGGGCGAGCAGGGTGCTGACCACAGGACGAATCCAAGTACCTCTGAGATGAGAGGCTGCTGCCATGGTCCATAGCAAGATGTGAGGGCCAACAAGAGCAGATTCCGGCCAGGCCAGGAAAAACGCAGGACCATGGCAGGCTGAGTGTCAGAGTGACGTTAAGTGCCCAGGCTGTGAAATCAGACTGATCTGGGCTCCAGCCTAACTTTCTGGAGCCTCCTGTTTCCTCATCTATCAAGTGGAGATAAAAATACCATCTACTTCACTTGATTGCTGTCAGGTTGAAATAAAATGAGAATATAATGTATGTGAAGTATTCAAATAACAACACATATTATATCCAGTGCTTCAAATCTACTAAATCTACTAGTTCCTACTCACAATGTTGCCTTCAATACGAGTCCTACACCACTCCTTTAAACATTCAACATGTATTTAGAGCACCACCCACCTACCTACGAGTCAGACGCTGGTGATGCCTCCTTCATAAGGTCGCCTTTGACTAGCCCCAGCCTGAGCCACGTCCTTTGCTGAACTCCTGACTACTCTCACCCTACTATTCATGTCAGCACTTACTCACATGCAATTTTGCATCAGCAGTTCCATGTGTTTTTCTTTCCTATAAAATGGATCATTTTAAGGAACAGAAAACAATGTTTTATTTGTTTATCATCACAATGAGGATCACACTTAATAAGAAAAGTAACTAAGAAGAGGGTCCTAAGCTTTGGTTTTGCTCAACAGCTCAGGCCCCTGACCATCACATCGATTTTTTTTTTTTTTTTTTTAAAGATAGAGTCTTGCTCTGTCACCCAGGCTGGAGTGCAGTGACACGATCTCAGCTCACTGCAACCTCTGCCTCCTGGGTTCAAGCAATTCCCCTGCCTGAGCCTCCCAAGTAGCTGGGACTATGGGCGCATGCCACCATGCCCGGCTAATTTTTTGTACTTTAGTAGAGACAGGGTTTTACCATGTTGGCCAGGATGGTCTCAAACCCCCGACCTCGTGATCTGCCTGCCTGGGATTACAGGCGCATGCCACCACACCCAGCTAACTTTTGTCATTTTTAGTAAAGATGGGATTTCACCATGCTGGCCAATCTGATCTAGAACTCCTGACCTGGTGATCCACCTGCCTCAGCCTCCCAAAGTGCTGGGATTACAGGCATCAGCCACCGCAGCCAGCCCAAACCATTTCTTAACAGCAGGACACTTTCAACAAATCAATACCTAAAATTGATAAAAGCAGATGAGCTCTTTAAAATGAGAGGGGGGCCTCCAGTAGTACCAGCCTGATGCCTGCCCCACACCAGGGCACCTGCACGGCATCATCCCGCAGCTCTGTGCACAAGACTAAAACATAGGGTGAAGGAGGCAGAGCACTGCCAGGACACCCAGCGCCAACACACACAAGGCTGCCTAACTGGACCCCTCTCCTCCATCTGCCCTCCATAAAGCCCTCTAGTTATTACTCCCTAGACAGCAATGCCTCAGGCTTAAAGATAATGTCTTGAATTACAGGGGATCCTTTTTTAAACCCAGAGTTCCTGAGCCATGCACACCAAGAGTCACTAGAGCTACACGTTTCCCCCTTTTTCTCTTAACATATGTCAAACTTCCTTAAAGAAAACCAAAACAAAGCTAAAATAATGCCTTGGGCAATTCGAGGAAAACTGGAACAAAGAGGCTAAGTGTCTTGTTAGAATTCTGCAAAGAGCAGTTTGTACAATACTCTTCCTTCTATTCATCATTAGTTGAAATTATGGAACAAAATTCTATCAACATTAGGACTTGCCTTTTTGTTGCTAAAATAAATCCAGACAACAGGAATGGGCTGAGTGCGGGCATGCGAATCACCAGTGAATTAGAATTTTTCAGCATTCAGCACCAACAGAAAGGAGTCAGTAGGCCTGAGATAAGTGAAAACAGAAGTTGCCATAGTAACTTGCGCATTTACCCTAAAATGGCGGGAGTGGGGGTGGGGAAATAGGTCAATGTTTCTGCTTAACTAGCTCTATTCCTTGTCTAAAGCAGCATCCTTCTCCTTCCTCACCCTCAACAGGAGCACGAGGGGGAAAGTCAGATGGGCTTTTCAAAAAACGCTGGTAGAGAAAGAGGTCTAGGAGGAGGGAAGAAAACCACAAAGACAGCTAAATAAAAACCTCGCGAGTACCCCGGGACGACCCCCAGGGAAAGCCGTTGCTGATCGAGGGCAGCAGTGCTAAGAAACTGTTGCTGGGTTACTACAAATCAGGAATTGCCATTTTTTCCTGTAGCGGTTTAAGTGCATGTAATGGAACACTTGGGAGTGCATTATTAACAGCCTGGGGCTGGGGACAGTGGAGGGGAGGGAGGCAGACTCTGGCATGGAGAAATCTGAGGTCCTCAGCATTCTTTGATGGTTGAGAACTATGAATGGGGCTGAAGGATGTCCCAAAACAGAGGGGAGGAGGAGAGGGAAGCTTAGGGGGTTCCTTTTCAAAATAAGCTGATTTTGTTAACACAGAAGCAGTGCCCTTTACTGCATGGATCTGAAATGGCGACTCATCCAGGAGGGCCGGGGGCACTCGGTAGGGGCTGGTATAGAGTGCCAGGGTGCACTACCAGCCTTTCCGCCTGCAGTGCCGACAAATGTGGGAAGCGGGTGAAGCAGAAAGCGCTTGAAAACAGGTGCAGTTCCTCCTTCCTGCACCTGCTAGTGTCCGCACGGAGATACCTCAGAGCATTACTAACGGCTTAACCATTTGCTGCGAGGGCCCTGACGTTCTAGAAAATGACAGAAAGGATAATCCTTTTGGGTGGTGGGCGGGGGGGGGGGGAGTCGAAAAAGCAGAAGCATCTTTTTAACCACAGACTACTTCAAACACAAACCTCTAGATACCATACTGCCTTGTGCAGGAGTCTAGGCTTCCATGGAAAGGGCCATTCAGGCGCCACTGGGGAGCAGATTTCAGCCCAGCGACACTTCCAGTGGCAGGGTAGGACAGGCTCAATCTCGAATCTGAGCTCCTGTTTTCAGAAACATGGCAGTCCCTGCAAACTGTTGCCTGTGCACGTCTCTACTCCTCTACCCTACAAGGGCAGGGAAAGAGCCTCAGACACACAGCAACGTGTAAGATGACTTTAGAGATCAAGAGCAGCCAAGAGCTTGGGAGAACAGCATGCAGCACAAGCCCGCTGCAGGGGCTGAGGAGAGAGACGCAAAGCAGCAGGCGCCAGGTCCCCGCACATCCTAAGAAGGGAGGAGCACGTGCTGAGCAGGGTGTGCAGACGCTTCAGGGGGGAATCTCCAGGCAACAGGAAGCCAACACACCTGGGAGGGAACTGCAAGAACCAACAGATGCTATTCTGACACTGCCTCCCAGCACTGCCCGGAAAATCATTCAGTGTGGCCAGCTCAGAGGCATTCTTCCTTTACTATGGCAGTACCGAGGACAAAGAGACATCTGTGAGCAAATCATTTTGATTTTTTTTTTTTTGAGACAAGGTCTTATTCTGTTGCCCCAGGCTAAAGTGCTGACAGTGTAGTGACACGGTCATGGCTCACTGCAGCCTCCACCTCCCAGGCTCAACTGATCCTCTCACCTCAGCCTCCAGAGTAGCTGGGACTACAGGCATGCACTATCAAAATACAAAATTTTTTGTACTTTTTATAGAGATGGGGTTTCACCATGTTGCCCAGGCTGGTCTTGAACTCATGAGTTCAAGTGATCAGCCCGCCTCGGCCTCCCAAAGTGCTGAGACTACAGGTGTAAGCCACCAGGCCTGACCAGAAATCATTTCTTTAAACTTTTTATTCCAGAAAATGTTCTAGCATACACAAAATAGAAAGGGATAATGATCTATCACCCAGCTTCAAATCGTTAATATTCTAGTGCTAATCCGAAAGCCGAGATAGAACCCTTCATTAGAATGATCCCCAAGTGTTACACATCAAAAGCCTGCAATCCAAAAAGTCAACCTCTCAATTCTCCGGAGCCCCAGAAGGCAGCTATTCTAGGAAGGCAGCAGTGGTAAAACAAAAGAAACTGACTTCACTTTCAATCCTTGAGGCATGTCCACCAGTGTAATTCTACCTGCAAAGTGTTTCTACAGCTTATGTTGCCTGAATTCTTGTGGCTGTAATTTTTATTTATTTTATTTTTAATTTTTTTGAGACAGAGCCTTGCTCTGTGGCCCAGGCTGGAGTGCAGTGGCACAATGTCAGCCCACTGCAACCTGTCTCCTGGGTTCAGGCAATTCTCGTGCCTCAGTCTCCCTAGTAGCTGGGATTACAGGCATGCATCACCACGCCCAGCTAATTTTTGTATTTTTAGTAGAGATGTGGTTTTACCATGTTGGCCAGGCTGGTCTCAAACTCCTGGCCTCAGGTTATCCGCCCAGCTCAGCCTCCCAAAGTGCTGGGATTACAGGCATCAGCCACTGTGCCTGGCCAAAATTTTGATTTCTAAAAGATACATTTCTGTCTGCTAAGCCAAAATCACTATACACTGTACAAAGCCACTGAAGAAGGCCCCACAGTCTCCACAGTCAGCTTTCCAGGACGGGGTCTTGGTTACAACCCCTTTCCATTTTGACATAAGCATTTGGGGCAAATTCCAGTTACACAGGACAACACAGATTTCGTTCACTTATGACTGACCAAAACCCACCATGTGCTGGCAGGTGGTGAAGCCGAAGCAAAGCCTGTACTTACTGGTACTGTTACATCATCATAAAAACTCCAAGCTAAGGCCCATCTCATCGTCCGACCTTGACAGAATTCAGTGTAGGTGACTTTTGGGACCTGAAACCAAAAAAGACAGCATTTCATCCAACTGAAGTCATTCTACCACTATGTTTCTGGCTGCTGCCTCATGCTATACTACGTTGCCCCTTCTTTTTTAATCAGTTAACAAACACTATTACCAAACAACAGTTATAGATAGCTGCCTAATAATGAATGAATAAATCATCTCTCAACAAAGTTGTGTTTTTTCTCCCATAAATCATAAAATAATTTATAGATCTGACTTGAAGGTTCAAATATATGAAACACAGAAAAGACAGCTAATGAGAGAATTATTTGTAATATGACTCAAGTGGTTTTTTGTTTTTGTTTTTTTTTTGAGACCTAATCTTGCTCCGTCACCCAGACTGGAGTGCCGTGGAGTGATCTCAGCTCACGGCACCCTCTTCCTCCCAGGTTCAAGCAATTCTGCCTGAGCCTCCTGAGTAGCTGGGATTACAGGCACGTGCCACCATGCCCGTCTAATTTTTGTCTTTTTTTTTTCTTTTTTTTTTTTGAGACGGAGTTTCGCTCTTGTTACCCAGACTGGAGTGCAATGGCACGATCTTGGCTCACTGCAACCTCCGCCTCCTGGGTTCAGGCAATTCTCCTGCCTTAGCCTCCTGAGTAGCTGGGATTACAGGCACGCGCCACCATGCCCAGCTAATTTTTTATATTTTTAGTAGAGACGGGGTTTCACCATGTTGACCAGGATGGTCTTGATCTCTTGACCTCGTGATCCACCCGCCTCGGCCTCCCAAAGTGCTGGGATTACAGGCTTGAGCCACCGCGCCCGGCAATTTTTGTCTTTTTAGTAGAGATGGGGTTTCGCCAACTCCGCCAGGCTTGTCTCAAACTCCTGACCTCAGGTGATCCAACCACCTCAGTCTCCCAAAGTGTTGGCATTACAGGTGTGAGTAACTGTAACTGGTCTCAAGTGGTTTTTTGTTTTCTTTTTTAGAAAGAAAGCCAACCAAAGCCTGGCTAGACACAGGTAGATATTATCTTTCTCTCTTTTTTTTTTAGACGAAGTCTTGCTCTGTTGCCCAGGCTGGAGTGCAGTGGTGCAATCTCGGCTCACTGCATCCTCTGCCTCCTGGGTTCAAGCAATTCTCCTCTCTCAGCCTCCTGGGTAGCTGCGATGACATTACACGCCACCACGCCCAGCTAATTTTTTAATTTTTAGTAGAAATGGGGTTTCACCATGTTGGCTAGGATGGTCTTGATCTCTTGACCACGTGATCTGCTGCCTCGGCCTCCCAAAGTGCTGGGATTACGGGTGTGAGCCACCACGCCTGGCTGGTAATCTCTTTTATCAATCAGATTTTAGGAAAGGGAAAGGAACTACTTTGTAGCTTTCACAATTTACCCATGAAATGGTATTGTGAGGAAAAGAGGAGGAATAGGACGTCAGAGAGAAACCAGGGATCAGAAACTGTTTCCCTAGCTGACTTGCATCTGACCCTTTTGCTGAAAAGTCCTCTGACTCAGACCAAACACCATAAACTGAGAGGAATGTGGAAGTGGCAGGGGAGTCTTTATTTTATTTAAAAAATAATTTTGGAGAGAGGGTGTCGTTCTGTCGCCCAGGATGTAGTGCAGCGGCATGATCTCAGCTCATTGCAACTTCGACTTTCCGGGTTCCATGGATCCTCCCACCTCAGTCTCCTGGCTAGCGGGGGCCTACAGGCACGCACCATCACTCTTGGCTAGTTTTTTGTATTTTTTTGTAGAGATGGGATTTTGCTGTGTTGCCCAGGCTGGTCTTGAATTCCTGGGCTCAAGCAATCTGCCTACCCCCGCCTGCCAAAGCGCTGTGATTAGAGGTGTGAGCCATTATGCCAGGCCTGGGAGTACTTACTTGTGACCTGCCTTCTGAAGCAGGAGCAGGTGCTATACTCCTTGGAATGTCATCCTAGTGGGAAGCACACTGGACCGAGACTGTGTTCTGGTGCTGCTCCCCCATAGCTAACTGCATGGCCCACAGCAAGCCCCTAAACCTATCTAGCTTGAGCTTCTGGCTCCATATAGGAGAGAGTTGAACGTGTCTTGGAGGTATGATAAAAAATAAAAATTAAAAACATTAAAAATAAAAAGGAGTTAGGTGTAAGGTCACTGGTAGATATCAGGGTTTCTGGTTTCTCTTTGACATGCTAACTCATCTTATTTTTCTCCACCTTTCTCTGTTATATTTGTCCAAAAAGGCCTTGTTTCAATACTCTATATATAAAATACGTTTTAGCCCTAAAAATACAGAACTTGGAAAACAAAACAAAAAAACATATTTAGAGTTTTAGAGTTATACTCTGAATTCTATACTCAAAACTACCATCAGAGTAGGTACAGGTCAGGTGCAGTGGCTCACGCCTGTAATCCCAGCACTTTGGGAGGCCAGAGTGGGAGATGGCTTGAGGCTACTAGTTTGAGACCAGCTTGGGCAACATTGTGAGACTCTATCTTTATAAAAAATAAGGATTACTTGAGTGCAGGAGTTTAAGACTAGTATGGGCAACACAGAAAGATCTTTTTCTACTAAAAATTAAATTAGCTGGGCATGGTGGTATGTGCCAATAGTCGCAGCTACTTGGGAGGCTGAAGTGGGAGGATCGCTTAAGCCTAGGAGTTTGAGGTTGCAGCAAACTGTGATTGTTCAACCATACTACAGTCTGGTTGACAGATATCAAGGCTCCCTTTCTTTCTTTCTTTTTTTTTTTGGAGACAGGGTCTCACTCTGTCGCCAGGCAGGAGTGCAATGGCATGATCTCGGCTCACTGCAACCTCTGCCTCCCGGGTTCAAGCGATTCTTTTGCCTCAGCAAAAAGAATCCTGAGGAACTGGGACTACAGGCACGTGCCAGAACACCCAGCTAATTTTTGTATTTTTAGTAGAGACAGGGTTTCACTATGTTGGCCAGGATGGTCTCAATCTCATGACCTTGTGATCCACCTGCCTTGGCCTGACCCCACTTCTGGAAAAAAAAAAAAAAAAAAAGTAGATATATGAAAAATAACCTCAAGATGGACTAAAGACTCAAATGTAAGACTTGAAAGTATAAAAAACACTAGAATTGGTCCCAAAGGAAAATAAATCATTAGCTGGGGTGCAGTGGTGCACACTTGTAATCCCAGTACTTCGGGAGGCAGAGGTAAGACGATGACTTGAGCCCAGGAGTTTGAGACCAGCCTGGGCAACATGGTAAGATCCCATCACTACTAAAGAAAAAAGAAAAATTACCTAGGCATGGTGGCGTGTGCCTATAGTCCTACCTACTCAGGAGGCTGAGGTGGGAGGACGGGTTGAGCCCAGGAGTTCAAGGTTATAGTGAGTCATGATCCCACCCCTGCACTCCAGCCTGGGCAACAGAGCTAGACCTTGTAAAGAGGAAAGAAAGGAGAAAAGAAGAAATATCTGTACTTGAATCAACTTAAGTAACAATCAACAAAGGATTGGATAAGGAAAATGTGGTATGTATACACAATGCAATACTATTCAGCCATAAAAAAGAATGAAATGCCAGGCGCAGTGGCTCACGCCTGTAATCCCAGCACTTTGGGAGGCTGAGGCAATATGATGAAACCCTGTCTTAAAAAAAAAAAGAATGAAATTATGTCTTCAGCAACAGGAATAGAACTG